CTAGTCTAGCTAGGCTAGACTTATCTCGTTTAATATCTAGCTATTATTAGACACTATATATCGATAGATAGGACTATCCTCGTTAAACTAAGTAGTCTAGAGCGATTAGTCTTTAAAGATAACTAGCGATTATAGACGTAAGTCTAGAGCCGATACTATCTTAATAATCGTTATCTATTCGCGCGTCTTAGGCGTTTTTTTAAGTGATCTAGTGGTAGTCGATATACTAATAACTAATTAGTTACTATAGACGTCTAGGGCCGTACTAGATTCGTCTATATTCTAGCTATTCTTAAGCTATATATTATATCGCTCTTTAACGCCTACTAGGTCGCTAAACTAGTCTACTAATAACTTAGAAAGGGTATAATCGACGCGTTTAGTATAGATCTTTTAGCCTACCTTAGTTCTAACGTTAGGGTTCCGTTCTAGATACCGTAGTAGCTAGTTAATTCTAACGCGTCGAGGGCCGCCGTTTAACTCGCTAATTATCCCTATAAGATCTCGAATAGCCCGATAGCTAGGCGCGTATTCTTATACCTCTAGATTAAGTATCTATCTCTTTAATAGGACCTTCTATTAGTTTAACAATAGCTACTACGATTCGTGGAATAATAAGGGCGATTAATGGCCCTATAGACGGCGAACTAGTGTAGAATGATAGACGTCGTTTACGGCCGCGGCCGCGCGAATAGAGGGATATCTACGTTATTAATAGTCTATAATAGCCTATTGGATCCTAGCCTCTCGATTCGATGCTATTGACGCGTGATTAATGGCTAATTAGTTGCGTGGTGGTTGGTATAAGTTGGTGGTATCGAGGTGGTGGGGTTGTAGAACGCGTGGTGCAAAACTAGGTTGGTGCAAAACCTGGTGGGGACTTACTCGTTCGTCTTTGCCTGATTTGGGATTTCCAGATCGATCAGAGCTTTTGGGCTTGAGCTCGACAGCAACTCAGGTACTAAGTACTCTCTCAAACAACAGTCTGCCTGCCACAGAGATCTCCTGTCTAGATGAGGTCATTTTCCATCTCGCCTGGTGATACAACTGCCTAGGTAAGTACGAGGTACTATGTACTAAGTACTATACTAAGCAAGTATGTGGGAGCAAATTCTAAGTTTCCAATCCGATTCACACCACTCCAACCTGTCAAATCGCTACCAGCCTGTCATACTATGTATCGATTCAATGTTTCCATCTGTCAGAGACGTATTCCAACCTCAGGCTGTCAAATCGCTTCCAAGCTGTCAAATCGCTTCCAAGTTGTCAAATCGCTTCCAAGCTGTCAAATCGCTTCCAAGCTGTCAAATCGCTTCCAGTCTGCCAAATTGCTTCCAAGCTTTCACAACGACTCCCAAACCTTCACATCGATCCTATCATGATGTACTTAGTAGCCTGAAGCTGCCAAATCGCTTCTAACCCACCAAATCGATCCCAACCTCTCACATCGATCCTAGCCTGAAGCTGCCAAATCGCTTTTAACCTACCAAATCGAGTCCAACCTCTCACATCGAGTCTAAAATGAAGCTGTCAAATCGATTTCATCTTTCAAATCCAAATCGATACAAACTTGAACCTTCGAAATCGGTTCAAACCCATACTATGTATGTACTAAGTACTAGCACTTGTGATATAGATCGGTTCAATCGTTCGGGTCCTTCTCGAGTTATTCGATAAATCAGTACACTATTATATATGTAGTATTCCAGCTCGATTCCAGTCCAGCTCGATTCCAGCTCGATTCCAGCTCGATTCCAGCTCGATTCCAACTCGATTCCAACTCGATTCCAGCTCGATTCCAACACGATTCCAGCCGAAGTTAGACCGAGTCAGAACCACAACGTTAATAATACTATGTACGTACATATAGTATGTATTTATACTGCTATGTACCGAGTAGTACTTATATTAACGCTATATCGACGTACTTGATGCCTAGGCACGTCCTTGAAATCTTGATTCTTGATACATAGTAAGCGTAGACGCGTATCACCCAGACATATCAGGTCGACTGACTTTTTCTTTTAAGAGGAAACGGCGTACTATATACATACTACCATACTAAGTACTAGTATATATACTATGTATAGTAAGTATGTATGTATGTAGTCACCAGGTGGTGCCTGCCACTTGTCGCTCCTACTATACTTAGTATGCTTAGCACATACGAGGCAGGAGCAACCGTATTAACAAAAATTCCTATAGGCTTCTCTATTTGGAGAGACTCGTACGGTATAGGATGCAAATTGTTTGCTAATGAATATGTAATGGTCAGCGAGAAGACTTCGGAGTGAAGTGGAAAAGTGTCACTCAAGTGGCTTATAACGGCCTAGCTGGCTATAACTTCATGTTACATACTTACTTAGGTACTATGTATCTATCGTGTGATTTCTTGTATCACGTGACTTTATTATGGCACGTGACTACTACATGTATGTATACTACTATGTAGTCGTGGCTTGTGCAGTGGTGTGCTTGTAATTTTACTATGTAGCTCTCTATATGCGAAGGAAGTACTACTGCTGTAGAGTAGTAATATGAACCATTTACAAAATTCCCACGTTGGAAAATGCATCCCTTTCATCTGGAGATGCCACTTCATGGCCAGTCTCCTCCCAGGCGCTTGCATATTCACCAAGGGCCGTACCTTCCTTCCGTTGTACGTGACGGCCTGGTCTTGGCATGTAGTCATGTGCCTAACACTATTAATCTCGCTGTTTGCAACCTAGCACGTTCAAAGTTCTATTCTCCCTCTCTCTCTCTTCAATCGATCCTACTGAGTTCAATTCGATCTTCCTGCCTGATTCCCGCCACGGGTTCCATGGACTAAGTATTTGGGGCTGGATCGGCGCTGAAGCGATTTGGAATCGTACAAAGTGCGTCCGAACCGCTCTCAATCGAGAAATCACTGTGCAGCTCTTGACTCGAGGCTGGAAACATTGAACGTTTCTGATCGGCTTCGAACCCCTCGCTATAGTACATACATAGTATGTACTTGGTACTCAGTGTCTTCGCAAATGTTGTACCCTACTTAGTACGTCGTCCAATGTACCCTTCCTCGATCTCTGAGTCCTTTTACATCGGGATTATCGAACGGGTCAATATGTAGTAAAGTTGTTGTATGTCATATGCAGTGGCTGGCGCACGGACCACGCGACACTCTCCTAGACTGAAACACGACCGTTTCAAAAGAGTGCGCTTTTTACTAACACATTCCCCATATCTTCGGCTGTGAGCAACGCCATGACTTCCTGCGTGCCCCCTATCACTCGCTTAGGCGTCAATCTGGTCATTGACCCGGTCAGGGCGGACTTACGATAAGTGATAGGTCAACTCTCGGCGGCATCTGTCGAGATCGGCACAGCGGAAGACGTTTCAAAATCGTATATTCATCAGAATGTGGCAAGTGCCCTTGTTGCTCAGCTACTAGCTCGTTACTGGCTCTCTCCCTCTCTCTCTCTTTTCTTTTCCAAGCCCCCATCTCTCTCTCTCTCCCCTTTCCCCCTAGACTTCGGACTGCAGTTGAGCTTGCAACTCCTTCCATGTTGTGGCGACGATGGGACATCCAACGCCACTTCCTGCGCCTCCCCTGAAGTTCTGGAGGGTGACGATACACGTCTGTAGACGGGTGAGCTGGTCTTGGGCAGAAGTACCTGACCAAGGATTAGCAGACGCACGTCAACTCGAAGTACTACATAATAAATATGTGGCAAAGAAAGTGAGACTTACCAGACGGGAACGACATTCCGCTTGCGACAAAGGTTTCGAGGGCACTAGTGAAAGTACCCAAGTCTGGTGGACAGTTGCAGCTGCTCGATGTCAGAACCTATGTATCGCTGTGAAACTGAGGCTTCCATCAACTTACGGAATGTCTACATTGTTGTCGCCGACGCAGTTGGCAGTCCCGTCGGTCGCCTTGACCCCCGGAGTAATGCCGAAGGGAGGGATGAGCGAAGTATCGACCGAGCCAGAGCTAGTAGTACCCCCAGTGCTGGCCGCGGTGGTGGCAGCAGCAGGAGGAGGAGCGGCAGTGCTAGCGGCAGCAGGGGCCGCAGAGGCTTTGGTGATGAAGGTGCTCGGAGCATTGCCACCACCATGGTTGAAGAAACCGCTGCCGCCGCCCCCATGCTGCTCCCTCTGGGCGAGAACGGGGAGAGCCGGGAAGGCAGCGGCGAGGAGGTATACAACAGCGAAGCGCATTGTTGGATACTAAGTATGTGATATTTGGGGTGTTGTGTCGTTGAAATGGTGGTCCGAGGAGGTGCACTTCGGGCTAGCCGGGCTGTTTGGGTGCGAGAAAAGGAGTGTGTTGGAAGCGAGGCCGGTGTATACTACCAGTAGTAACCGTAGAATGGAAGAGGCACGACCTGCGCACAGAGTAAGGAGTGTGAGTGAACTTCAACGAACGAATTTGCCCAGAGTTTTGGAGATGGGTGCGATTACGAGGGCCCTCGGAGGAACGTGAGGGATATATATACATTGTTTGTGAGCCTGGACACGCAAAAACCCACGCGGTAAGACGACAAGCAGCATTGCGCTCAGGAGAAGTGATAGACGGGCTACAAACATGGGTTGTTCTTTGCGCTCAGTCTCACAGTCGTCGTGATTCCTTTTTTGCACATCGCATTATTGGAGTTGACGGATAGCCCCCTGCGTTTGACACGGCGCAATAGGGGTTGCCTTTGGCGTTTCACGTTTCCAAGATGCTGGTCTGCCACCCATGATTGGTTGAGGATTGATCTGCGCTTGACCCTGCATTCAGCACCTGTACGTCGCTGGGAAAAAGGGACTCGAGGTGAACAACTTGAAGCCCATTGCTTGTCTCTTTTGTTGGTCTGCCCGGTGGCATTGGGTCTCAGCACGACAAGAGAAACTTGAACGTGGCGCATCCAGAAACTCGGGACTACCCCGTGTTTTTTTGGAGGGCGCTTAGATAGAGCCAGCCCTTGGCATGCAGCTCCGATAACTGTGATAATACTTATCGATAGCCCTGGCGAAAGATCTGGAAGCCATAATACTAGTAGTTGTACCCACACCTTCTGGGGGCAAGCGAAGATGCTCTGTGCGTTTTGAAAGGCAACTTGAACCTCGCAGCAGATGATTTCGAGCGGCTCTCCAAGACTGATGGATGCCATCATCTGGATACCAGGATCCAGCAGTAGTACCTAGTACTTCCTCAAACAGGCTCGTCCTTTCCTTCTGCCAGAGAAGACGCAAGAGGGCCAGCTACAATGCCACCCTGCACCGAGTGCCACATATGACTGGTAGAACCGCCACTAATGCCACCGGGGGTGGCTTCGGGCGATCATGGAAAATACTATAGTACGTCTGACATTCTCACCGGCACTCTGACCGGGCGAACGTTCTGCGGCAAAGGACAAGAGTTGGTCAAATGGCCCTTTCAAATGACAGCAGCTATTCCGCTACTGCTCGTGATGGATGTTCACGTAAATTCCCCTTCACTTACCCTTCCGACCACGAACTCTGCAAATTGAACAAAAGGAAGACGACCGAGTCACAGCAGCAGGGATAGCCAACTGTGCATGTAACACAATTTCTCATGACTTCTGAAACCCAATCGGTTCGACTCGACCCGTCGTTTCTCAAACCACAGCCTCTAGGATCTCCTGGACCTGCTCGGCCTTGAGCAGCGGGACCGGATTTGTCGGGGACCAGAAGTCCGCCAACGCGGCCTGCGAGAGACGCGGAAACACTTCCCTCTCAATCCCCAGCTCTGACAACGTTCTAGGAAGGTCCAAAGCACGGATGATGACGTCCAGGATGTCGCCGAGATCCGCAGGGTCCTGGTGAAGACCCTGACTTGCCAATAGTTCCGCGACAACCGGCTCGGACCAGAGAATGCTCCTGACCTTGGCTTGCCGGTTGATGATTTCCGAGTTCTCGTCTGCATGCTTGATATTGTACTTCATGACGGCTGGGCACAAGATGCAGCTGGTGACACCGTGCTCCACACCCAGGGGTCCCAGTTGGTGGCCGATCGCGTGGCTTCCACCCATGGGTATCCCGGCACGAATATTGTCCATGGCAAGCATAACCGCCATCTGGCATTTGTGCCGCGCCTCGCGGTCCCTGGGGTCTTGTTTGCATCTGAGCAGACTCGGAACTAGCAGCCTTAGACCCTCCCCCGCTTTTCGATCAGAGGTCTCTGTGCCCTGGAGAGAGCAGATGGCCTCAACACAGTGATCGAGACTCCTGACGCCGGTGCTGAGCCAGTGGTACGGCGGAGTGGTCATGCATAGCTCCGGGTCGAGGATAATCAAGTTCACGCCCATACCGGAATGCAGAAAGGGTATCTTGCGCTTCGTAGAGTCATCCGTACCGCCGCCTAGGCTGAAATACTTGGGGTGTCATCAGTGTCTAGCTCAATAGATGTGATTGAGAGGAGAAAGGGATGAATACCTCGCCACCCGACAAGCTCGTAGGAATTGTGATCAGTGGCACTTTTGGCTCGTGTATCGTGGAGGGTACATCGGTGCTCTCGGCAGAGTATCTGGCGAGTTCTTTTGCTGTCTTGATATTGTTTGCTAATGCCTGACATCGAGGTTAGTCTTTGGATCGAGGACCATCTAGGAACTGCCAGAACAGACAAAGGTAACCATTTTGGCTCCGTCGGTGATGCTCCCGGCGCCCATCGTCACAAGACAGTCGGCGTTGGATTCTCTTGCCTCGGCCGTGATTTGCAAGATCTCCGACCACGGCGTATGCTGTGTCATACCCTTCTTGACGCCGACGACGTTGTCCTTACCGATCGCTTCAATCAACCTGTCCAGGCTGTCGGTTTCACGCGACAGTGTCCCAGAAGCTATGATGTACACTCTCGAGGCATTAAAAGTCTCGCGCACGTGTTTCGCACATGCCGCATGGTATGGTAGGCCATAGGAGACATAGGGCGAAGACAGTTTGAGGTTGGAGACAGGAATGCCTGCGAGATTCGTACCAGGAGGATCTGTAAATGCAGGTTTGTAGACCTCGGTTGACATTGCTGATATTTGGCCGGAGCGAGAAGAAGGGGAAGCAGAAACGCTATCCACACACGAGGCCTGGGCAGGACGGAGAATCTCCTTGACTGATGTATATTCGATCTGGCAGAAGGTCGTGAAACAGGGCTCTTCACAGTTGCCGAAGATCTATATGGAGAGCCGAGGGAGGGGATCTGCCATTTGCCCCATCCGGAATGCCTGCTAGAAGCACCCCACATTGCCGAGAAGATTTTCTCGATGCCTTTCCAGTCCGTCGATATGTCAGGAATGGTAACTTCAATAAGCAGGGAGGGATTCTTACTGCCATGTGTCCATGGTCGACGCCATTGTGTTGCGAATATTGTCGTTGGTCAAGTGACGAGGGCAAGGGCCGTGTCCTTCGACCGTCCTTACCATCTTCAATAGCCTGCGTATTAGTACAGTTAGTACTACCCTGTCACTCTCGCAATGGACAGATAGAAGAGTGCCCCTAGTCAAGTAAGACGAGGCTGTTGAGAAAAGGGTGATGGGTGGATAAGGGTGCCATCTGGGCTTAGTAATAAGCGATTAATCCGGCTGCGCGTTGCTTCGACGCGTCGCGCATCGCGCATCGATTTACCGACAATTGGAGTCCACGGAGCAGACCAATTCTGCAGTTCGAGAAACCACGACGACGGCCACCAACAATGCCGGACCCGTCTCGAGCATGCTTGCTCCTCCTGGCACCGCCCTGCCCAAGTTGAAAAGATGCCTTGCAGAACTCCTTCGCACTTGCGTGCACCCCTCCGCGCTGCTCCTCCGAGTCGAACACGTATTTGGGAAAGCGCAGGCGGGTAGCCATAGAAACCGTGCAGTGGAACGAGACGACGAACAAGACGACGACCAAGATCAAATTCTCATCAATACTGGCGTTGACCACGGCAACGAATCTGTGCCAGGGTCAGATGACACGTGGTGCGTTCGTCTCGCAGTCTCGGATGGCCACCTCCAGATCCAGGCCGTGATATCGCCAGCCCTCCTCTTTGAAACAAAGGAACTCTGGGAACTACAACGAGGGGACCTGATCGAAGTACACAAGTTCCAAGTGAGGAGCGCACCTCGAGTGAGTGGAAAAGGTCGGGTGATCTACCTGGGGATACGGGATTGCGAATGGGTTGGCCGGGACAGAGACAAAGCAGAAGAATCCGAGGGAAAGGACGGGCTTGAACTTGAAGGTGGTTTTCTCCGCGAGGAGCAGGACGACATGTTTCGCAGAAAGCCGAATGCCCTTGGGGAAGACTTGACCGCTGCTTCAGACAAAAGCGGGACTAAGAGAAGGGACGCTGGTGACCGCGCTATCAGAGTGCATCCTTCCAAGAACACACAGAGCAAACCGAACTCGTCCAAACTCGCGCAGAAGGCTTCTCGGAATCCATCAGAGGATGATTCAGATGACGATCAGGGCTTCGATACGATCTTTGTGTCCCAGTCCCGGCTTGAGCAGCGCAGGCAAGCACTTCGTCAGATCCAGCAACCGCCGTCGTCCACAGAGGAGGCTACTGTGAGCCGATTGCAGCGAGGAGGAGAACAGAACCAAGGAGTGACACAATCTGACTTTGCAGGCACATCAGTTGTGTCCACGTCGAATCGCTCCCATCGAGATATCGAGGATCATGACGGGAACCAGCCTATCAGCGAAGTCACCGCAACCCACAGTTACAATTCCCTCGCCCATCCCCATCACCAACCGACCGACCTTGCAGGCTCAAATACTCCGCCTGCGCCGCACGAGGACCCCAGTACGCACCCTAGCAATACAACGTCAGTGTCTCCAATTGACAGCCTCGCTTCGCTCCTCGCGCTGCCTATTCAGAAAAGTTACTCCTGCAGCGTCCTCGCCCTGATATCCTGGGTATCACCCTCGCTGATCCACCGACCGAACACGCCCTTCCCACCCAAACGCCACATCAAGATCCACGACCCGTCCATATCGCACCGCACGTCCGGTGTCACGGTGTTTGTATTTGTGGACGCGCAGACATTCCTCCCGTCTGTGGGCACCGTGGCGCTGTTTAGCGGGCTGGTTATGAATAGAGTCCGAAGAGGCTCCGCGGACGGCGAAGGGGACGTGATTTTGAACAAATACCCTACCAAGATGGGGAGCCAGAAAGTGGAGAACGAGGACGGAGAGTCCGCTGGTGCCTACGACGGGGAAAGTGGAGGCGAAGGACAAGGGCAAGGAGAGTGGTTCATTTGTGACGAGGCCAGATTGGTCGGGATGGGCTTCGACGTGCATCGAATCAAGATGTGGTGGGAGCAGAGACTTGCCGCCAGGAAGAGCAAATAGAAGCCTCAGCAGGAGAGCATGTCCGAGCCGAACGATACCGTTTCACATTGTTAGCTCTATTCGAGATAACGCCAAAGAACAGCCCTAAGGGACGAAGTTCTCAATCGTGGATTGCCTGATGGGGAAATCCAAGAGAGACAAGGTGAATAGCAAAAGCGCTTCGTTACTCGTCGCAACTTCATGTCACGCAGACAGACCGTAGAATCCCGCCCGCTGGGCTCTTTTGTCTGGTGTCCAAATCCACATACTCTATCGTTTCTTCATTTCTCTCTCCCCCGGGAGAGAGGTAGATATACCCGATCCACCACTCACTCGTATCTCAAGTCCTTCTCGCGCGTCGACACGGTGGTGGAATGGCCTTTGTATCGTCCGGGTCTCTCCAGATATAACAAGCCATGGCGATGCCCATCCAACTTCGCAATTTTACTGCCGAATCAGAATATCGGGCTCGGCTCGTTATCTGGTACCCAGATTGCCTTCCGGTCCGCTCGTTGTGATTTTTGACACGCGGTAAAAGTATCTTTTCCGTTCTTGTCCAGAAGCCATCCTTCAAGACATGAAGGTCCGTCGTGATCAAGGCCCGAACTTCTCTCCAGGCTTCAGCTTCAACCACGGGCACGCTTGCCAGTCGCAGCCCATCTTGTAGACCTCTGTTCCCCACCACTTGAACCCTTCCATCCAACCGGGATACACGAAGCCAAAAAAGACAATCAGCAACGAGAAAGCCAACCCGGAGTCGAGTGCGGCGGACATGGTCATGGTGTACTTCCCCCACCAACTCGGAGCCCTCCTCCTCACGAGTCCGTTGAACAGAAAACATACCACGGCCCACACCGAAAAATTCAACCCGGTTGCGGGCGGGATCCAGGAAAGGGAGCCGAAAAGGACAGGGAGATTGATCCTGCGCCAGACGGATTTCTTCGCGCTCTTCCTTCCTACGAGCCAAACGAGTATTGGTGCGATGAAGCCGATGAGGAAAGCCCAGACAAGGTGTCGGTAGAGTGCACCAGGGCCGAAGAAGCGCTGTGGTCCGACAACGCCCCAAAGTATGCTGCCGTTGAAGTGGACACGGGCGATGGGGCAGTTGAACCCGTTGATTGCTTGCGGCGTGCAGATGCTAGGGATGTTGATGAACATCCAGTTGAGCACCGTAATTTGTACCAAGCTCGAAACCAAAGTGGCCACCATCTGGACTTTAAAAAGCAGTTTTGGTGGAATCTTCATATAGTGGCCCAGTTTCAGATCCGAGGAGAACTTGATACCTTGTGCAGAAGAGATGTAGCAATAGGTCACGAAAACCATGTTGGCGACCGGGCGGCCAGGAAAGACCACGCCACAGATCAACTGGCAAATCAAGTAGAGGCTACTGTGCTGGTTGGTAATGGCCATGACAATACCGACGGGGATAAAGAGGACGGTGGTGATGCCAAGAGCCATAAGAAGGCCATACCAGGGGAGATGGACCGGATAGTACTCGACTACGAAGATGCCGACGCCCAACATGCTGACAAATGTCAGAGCATACCATGTCATGGGAACATCTTGATAACGTTTCATGAGACGGTTGTGGACATCTTCACCTCCAGCCTTGATAGATTGACTGTCAACCCTGCGCAGAGGGGTTTCGTAGTTGCCGTTCTCGGCCGCGTCTGGAATTGGCTGGTACCCGGCACTGCTCTTTTCCTGTCTGTCGTGAAAGGCCTGTTGGGATTGTCGCAATATATCTCGACCATGCCAGCAGGTTGTATGAGTAAGTAAGGCCGACAGAGCAGCGAACTGAACTCCATAGGAGAGCACATATGTGATGGGAAGGTATACTTTGGAGTAGTTGTCATAGGCTTCTTTGTCAAAGAGGAAGTTGGGAGTGAGGATTTTGCCCACATCGTAGGGCTTGCCCGTGTTGTCGAATACGGCCGAGGAGAGTATCGGCAAATATCCCGAGAACAGGACATTGCGGTAGTAGAGTATGGGAGCGATAATCCACATGACTAGAACGAGTCCGCCCACAACATTCGCAGCAGCCCACCAAGGGGTCAGCAACGGCGATCCGATGTAGGCAATTTGAGCCCAATCGAAGGTCATCGGGAAGAGCCCCAGTCCCGAAGCCACCCCAAAAAGGTTTGAGACGACCACATTCTTGGGTGCGAACCAGGTAACGACGTTGAAGTAACTCAGTGCTGGCATCAGCAGTCCTGGAAAGAAATACCACACAAACGCTGCAGCCCAGACGTAAATGAAGAATCTGTACCGTGAAATCGTCCATCCATTGGCTGGCTTGTTTTCATCCTTGTGCATTGTAGTGAACATGGCTGTCGACATAAGAGTACCTGGCCAGATCATTGCTGCCGGCCGGACAAGGTACCTTCTGGTCAGGCCAGCGAACGCATACCCAAGAATTTGAGTTGAGATGGTTAAGAGGAGTTGGTACAGGATAGGAACATCCTGTTTATAGAATTTGTGCTGCTCAACAATGACATCGGTAGCAAAGGCAAATCCGAAAGAGACATTGCTGCTAATGTACACGCAGGCGTGTTCCTTTTCATTCCAGTGGCCCTGCGCCAACCATAACCGCAATCGTTGCAGGCGCGTCTGGGCCATTGCAATGTCATCGTTCTGGAGTGAGCCATTTACAAAGAACTGTTGCTGGTCGTCTGTTCGCTTGAGAAGGTAATCCCAAAGCTTTCCCATGGGATGAACTAGCACCAGAGCAATAACAGGAGTGATGGCGACACTCGGGTACCTCAATGAGAAAAAAAGATTGGTGGCGGAGCCACCTATTGCAAATAGCAATGACAGTGCCCACATTCTGGGGGTGTTTATAGACAAGGCAGTGTTGTCAGTGGCGGGCACCGAAGCTCGAACCTCTGGGTATGGGGAATTGTCGGGCGGATCTTCTGCGGAGGGAATGTATTCTTGCCCGGTGTCTGGTGGACTTGCAGTATGCGCACTCGAGTCGGAAGACTCTGCCTTATCCTCAGCAAACGCAGAGTTGCAGGCGAAGGATGCTTTGGCATCCAAGCCCATCCCGACTTCACTGGCCACAGAGGACGACCTCCGATGCGCCCATTCTGAGCTGCGTCGCTGTTGGTAGAGTAGCCGGGCATCTGAGAAGTGACCATGATCATCCTGGAGATCATGAGCGGACTGAACCCTTTTCCCACGGCGCTTTCTCGAGACCTTTCGGTGGTGCGAGTCCTCCTCCTCGTCGGATTCCACGTCCGAGTCCCCCAGCCTGTCGTTCACCAACGGAACAGTACCATAGGAACCGGTGCCGAGGGCCGGGGAAGAGCGTATCAGAAGCAACCCTCGAGACATAATGGCATCCCAGACACGCGAGACCAGTCCTCGGCGCCTCTGGATCGAGTGGGAGCTGGGGGGCGTCACTGTAGAGGGGGCAACGGGCTCGAGGGTTCGGCGAGGTTGGAGATGAGTACCCGACTCAGTTTGGGGCTCCAATTCAGCTGACGCAGCAGCATCTTGCTGTAAACGGGCGGGAGAAGAGGACGATGGGAATGTATAGAGCTCGAGCTCGAGCTCAGAGGCGGGAGTGGACGAGAGGTGGGAAGGACGAGTAGTATCTGGAGCCTGACCCGACCCAGGGAGCATAGCATTGTTAGGTCCAGATCATGGCTGGGATGGTAGGAATAGCTAGAGCAGTAGCAAGACAAACAGGGTGTGGCCACGACATAGCAACACAAGGCACGACGTGGGAGAACCTCACCGCAGTCGGATCGTCCGCAGGTGGTGACACAAGGTTGGAGGTGGAAGTGGGCTGCAGTGGCGCGTTGGGAACGGCCACAACGTCTGACTGGCTGTGGACTGGCTTCTTGGGAGCGAGGGCGACGTTCGGAGGCTGATTCGGCGATCACATCAGATAAGATTACGTAGCTCGCAGCCTAAGAGTCTCCTTGAGACCTGTCAAGGAGGGACGGGAAGAGCCTGACCCCCGAAGCACCGCCCCCGCGGCCACCTGGGTTGCCCTGTTGCACCTGACCTCCAGGCTCTCGCCGACTCTTGCCGTGACCAGCGGGGGCATGTCTGTTAGCTATGAGCCCGCTCGCCTTGGCTAGCCTCGCCATCGGGCCCCGTTATTCACAACTACCTACCTCGTACTCACCAACATAATGTGACTCCATACCTGATAGCTTTCCTCAGACATGCACTATATGTGACGAACAGTTAGATCATGCAGCATGGACATATTAATGCTACTACTCAGCATGCTACATACAATACATTTATTCATATTCGCCTACATCTCGAGCAAGCACCTGGCAGTCAGAATCAACCAAGTGTCCTCCGGCTGCAAGAGTTCTGCCAAACAAATATGGGCAGCCCGCGCTTCACAATGAGATCAACTGTCTGCTAGAGCCTTGCCGGGTACGAGGCCCAATGCAATCAAGGCTGTCGTCGACGGTCGAAAAGAATGTTCTACACTCTATGTACCTTTGGTAGCATCACCCGTGCCGCTTATGAAGGACCCAAGCTCGAGGCACAAGCCATGCTCGTCACCAATTTACGTCACGTCTCTTTTTCTCCTCCTCCATAGGTAGGTAGACCGCTCTTGGAACTTCTACAAGAGGCCGAACGTGAACGGAGCACACAAGGTCGGGTGGCATTCAACAAAGCAGCCAATGCAAGCAAGCACCTGACCACCCAAGACTTTTCTTCAAGCTGGTGATCGTTATCAGATCATGTGGGCTGCATGCCGCTAATATCCTCGTGTTAGAAGCAGTGGAGCTGGTCTCAGACACCGACATCGGCCTCACCAACATGAAGCCATTGAGTATCCGCTTCACTTTTAGCACTCTCGCCCACGTATATCACCAAGTCTGTCAAATGCCATTATGGTCTCATCATCCCTTTGATTCTCCAAAAAACCTGGTTAATGCATTTGATGATCAGAGCGCCATTCTTTGTGGGGATTCCCTATCAAAACCCTCCAACCTCAGCGCCTGCCCGAGTCAACATGTCATAGACCCGACCCGGCAATTTGTACTTCACAAGCCCAGCGAAGACCATTAGGTCTTTGGCCATGTTACTTAGTTGGTCTTTCATTTCATCCGCATCTCCACCATATCCTGCCTCCCACCGGCCACTGCGTATGATATTGTCTCGCTCTCCCCCGATTGCCCGCACTGCCCAGACCACACTGACTCCGGCGCAACGAGCAAGGATTTGTGGAAGAGCGCTGAAGGCTGTTGCAGCCGCCCGGATGGTCGGAATGGACCCATTCGCCCGCAACGGCAACAAGCCCAGCTCGTTGAGCTCCTCCAACGCCGTCATATAACGAGGCGGTCTGGCTTCGAGATGTTCTCGCACCGAAAGCAATCGGATGAGGGCCCCGCAAACCTCCCGGTTCGCGCTCGAAATGCGGTTGAAGTAGGCGGCGTTCTCATTGTACAACGATATCATGTTCTTCCCCAACTCGAACGGAGACGACGTGGACTGTGTAAGCGACAATGATGACTGAGGTCCACCCTGGGCGCTGCTTGACGACTCGCTCTGGCCGTTGGACTTTCGCGGTTTCAAAGGTTGCAGCTGCATCGGCGCCTCGCCCAGGTCCAGTGTCACAGCGTCGGCCAGTGCTCGGTTGAGCACGCTAATGACATTGTCGTAGTCTTCACATAGGTGGTAGAGCAATACTGCATCAGCGATTTGCCCGCGCTGATCTGCAATCGCTGCAGATTGGCTGGTAATGGATCTCAGAAATTCTTCTCGTGTGTCGAGGTGGATCAACCTGGCCCGTAGCTCGATGGCGCCGGGTATCCGCGTGCCATCGCTGCGAATATCGCCCAACAACTTCGCAAACTCACGGGTTTCGAGGCAGAGTTCTCGCAAGCACTCATGACAGGCATTGATGTGGACCAGACCCAGACTTGCAGGTTGCAGATCAGAGTTGAGACAGAGCATGGAAAGGTAATCCACCGCAGGGACAGGAAGGGCCGTTCGAAAAGTTCCCGTGTGATATGCCACGAGCGGAACAAAGTTAATCATAGGTTGCTGCGTCGTCGAAAAGGTCACTGCGCGTGGGTCAGCATCGAACAACCGAAATCACCCAGACGAATATACTTACAGAGCTCGCTGCCTGCCACCGAAAAATCTGACACCCTCAACAACCCATAATATGACAGGGCAATGGCGAAGTGCACCGCGCTCAGAGGATTGAAGTTGTGCAGGTAGTCCACAGCATGCTCAAACATCCCGGCGAGCACCTGCATCAAGAAAAAGGTGCCGTAGCCACTCGAGCCGTCGACCTGATTCTTCTGGAAATGTTTCTGCCCAATTTCGGTGATTGTCTCACAAATCTGTTCAAGCCCAAAGATCTCCCCAGATATTTCCTCGTACATCTCGGTCTCTCGCGCAAGGCTGAACTGAAGCCACAGCCAGTCCTCAACCCCCTGCCCCACGGCATCCAGATGTCTTGAACTCAAGTCGCATCTTCCGATCACCTTGTAGCACGCAATTCTGTAAGGATCCACTGTGTTCTTTGGACCGACCTTCGTGCGATTTTGATACTCGTTGTCGATCATGTCTTGCAGTTTGCGGCCCAGTCGCCGATCTGGGCTGTTCGCATACGCCGTCAAATACGAGACAAAGCGCCGCTCGACAGATTGGAAGGCAGGGTCGTTGTTCACATAATCGGCCGCTTCCTTGACAAAACCGCATCTCAGCAAGTAGAAAATGAGGACCCAGCAGTAGTCACCAGTCTCGCCGCCCAGTTGTTGGAGTTCTGAACCATCCGGTGCGAGATCTCGTCGGGCAGCCCGCAGCCGGATGTAAGCTCGTACAATATTGGTGACACTCGGCTGTCCACCCAATGCCGCTTCTCTCGCGTTTTTCTCAATCAGAGATCGGAGCTCTCGCCAGAATGCGTTTTCCAAGTAGATCCGAGAGCCCTCGACGATCTGCTTCTTCAGTTTGAGGGTGGCCGGAGCAGCAACCGTCTCGTCCAAATACGCCTGAGCATACTGCCGTTCCCTGACTGTAGATTGGCCCTCTTTGGTAATTTCTCGCAGAGCTTGATATGCGTCCACTATTTGCCGGGGACTGTCTGCTTTGTTTTGCTCTTCTGTTTCGGCAAAATTTTGGAGAAGAGCGTACGACTCCTCTCGCAGCCTAGCTTGATTGAGGTCTTCCACTTTGCTAATGAACGACTTTTCCTTCGCTCGGAGATCGCGCTGCACTTGAGAACTCGAACGTGGCAGACCTGACGGCACCGGAGCAGCACTTTCGCTCTTAAAGAAGGATGTCGTCCCAGCACCAGAACCCGGAGTGCCAATGATGGATTTTTCCATGGCTGAGCGACCAAACACACTGCGCGCAGGGCGGGATGTCTCAGAAGCCCCTTCTTTGCTTCGTCCTGTAGGTTTCCCAAAGCCACCTGGGGTCGACCTACCAAAATCGGGCCCTGCGCCGTCTTCTGGAAATGCCAACCCGAGATGTTCCATGATCCTGGCCTTCTGCTCCTCGAAGTCGATACCCAAGCTTTCTTCAATAAAGCTGTCAACTTCACGATAAGCACGTTCCATGCTCTCCTTCAGCATTGCCTCCCGACCCTTGACTCTCAAGTCTCTGAGGTAGGCACTGGACTCATCGGCGAACCCCTGTGCCGCAAGGCGTGACACCGGGGCAGATTCATCAGGGCCTAACGCTTGAAAGTCCTTATAAGCCTGACCAGGAGCAACCCCAGAGCCAGCCAGCAGATAATGGGCTCGACTGTCGGGCAGAGGCTCCGTCTGCTTCGCTCCGCGTTGTCTTATCTCTTGTGCACGCCTGGCCAGATCTCCCAGATCCATACTAAGGCTGGGTAGTTGACTCTGACGGCCAGCGCCATCACCCAACAGTCTCGGTTTCTTCTTTTGACGTTCGAGCAGACTGCTGAAATATGCGGCATCTCGATTGTTTTGCGAAGGGGCAGGTGCTGGTTGACTCGCCTGCGGCACAGCTGTGTTTACTGCAGTGGTACCACCAAAAAAGGAAGTGGTGCTCGCAGGCTGTTGTGTGTTCGGGCCGCCGAAGAGGGAAGTCGTTGCTGCGGGTTGTTGGGCAGCAGTTGTCGTCGTTCCGAAGAGACCTGTTGACGGAGCTGAGGTGGTTGTCGTCCCTCCTAAAGAGAAAGGAGCAGAAGTCTTTGCAGGACCCCCAAGACTGAAGAGTCCACCAGATGGAGCGGCACTTGAGGTGGCAGCTGTGGTGTTGAGGCTTGGGAAGGAAAAAGGTTGGGACGATTGTGAGGTAGAAGCGTCAAAGACGGACTTTCGCTTGCCCTGCGCATCGGTGGTAGGAACCAAAGTGAGACCAGCAAACGGGTTACCAGGCCCTGAGGTCGCTGGGCCAGAAGGAGTTTGACCAAAAGCCGACATGCTGGCTGCTGGTCGGAAGCTACCAGAGTGCAATCACTTCGCCGACCATGAAATGCTGAAAGTCGCGTCTACAAATTATTTAGACCGCGTTCAATGAGGCCGCGAGCGCAGTCGCCGTCCCAGTTCGGAGCCTTGGCAAGGGCTTGCCGCTTTAATGCTGCCCCTATGAAGGAAAAGTATCACAGCTTCAAACCAATCCAAACCACTCCAACAATCCCCAAACCCAGCCAAACATCGAAGACATATCAATTACATACCCCTGCCTGATCCAGGAAGCAATTATGTGATTCGCAGCATCCGCCGTTGTCGCTAATGGCGATTAAAATACAAGTCTAAAGCTCTGATGAGGTCCTGACTTCCCAGCTGGTGCGAGGTAGGAGAGAGGGCATGTTTCTGCAAAATCCCAGCCAAGCTGGGCATCGGAAAATGTGTCACCGGGCGTTGGCGATGGCGAGGGCTCGAAGAAATTCTGGGCCTCCAGGCCGCCATCGCTCTCCCAAAAACCACAGTTGAACGAATCATTCATGGCTGAGGGCTCGGCACCCCCAGCAGAGTGATCTCGCGAGTGCTTAGCGGGAGTCTCAACGTCCACCATCTTGTCAGGACTTCTCAATGGGACTTGGTAGTCACCCCAATCCAGCTGGCCTTGAGTGGGACAATCTTCGGCACTGGCAGGCGTGCTGGTGGAGGAGCTGGCAGGTGAGACGATTGATTGTGAGTATCTCCCAACGTGCTCGTTGACAGCCTCAGAAAGCTCGAGTGGTGTCAATCCAAGATGCTTCAGGATGTCGTTCACAGGCTGGTCCTCTTTCATGGACAGAGCTGCAGGGTCGTCCATTGCCTCGCCTGTTCTCAGGCGGTGATGAAGTATTTGGATCGCTTCGATAAGAGTGGCTTGCTGTCGCCCTAGCATTTCGGCATATCTTCACACCGGTAAGTTACGAGTCGACCACGCGCGATTCGCGTCCACTTACGCCAATACGGTATACGGACGGGAGTTCCTCCGCACATGGGTGTACGTACACGAAGTTCCCCGTCGGGTGCAACTTTTACATGGTGTGTCTCCGTCGCACTGTGGTTGAACTTGCCGATCAGACGTTATTCCGCGGGTGGAGAAGAATGAGAGACGAACCTTGGCCTTTTTGAGCCTACAAAGATCACAGGCGCGCATGGTGCGCGGATTTTTCTTCTTCCGTCTCATATAGGACAAATCACCGCCGGCGTCGAAGCCACCACTGCGCCGCTCAGTGGGAGGAGCGGGCGCAAGTGATACGGAGTACTTGCTTCCTGGCGGCATGGTGGACGGGGCAAAGATTGTCCTGTTCATGACTCCTGTTGATGGCTGCACTGCGATGGATAATATTCTCTTGGATACGCTGGAGACGACTGTGTTCCCAGAGAGTGGTCAATGTACCACCCAGAGCCTGTGGAACGACTTTTTAAAGGGTCGATCTTGCGGATGCCGGAGTTTCAGCATTGTGATAAAGGTATTCTTTTGTACCATCTGGAAGCAGCGTGCGCGTTCGAGCCAACGTACCATGATAGACTTTCTGGGGCGGTCCCGCATTGACAGGCTTTAAGCCATCATCAGACAATTTACGAGCTGCACTGGTCACGACTCGAAAGCCGGGAAAAGCCCGCGACCCTGGAGCCGCTCCCATGCCACGTGGCTGGCTCCCTCACCTGATGGATTTCCTAACTCCCACTCGCGTATTTTGGTCGAGGCCTTCAGAGCATTCTGCTCGAAAAGCAACCTGTGCGAGTGATTCTCACGTTCTGGGTCAAGCGAGGCCAAAATATGGCGACTGCTGGACCTTCAGGAAATTTCCATGGCAGCTCTATTCGCAGAAAAGATGGGGTCGTGCCATTATCATCTCACCGTCAATGGTGTGATTAGGCTGTCACCGTCCATATGGCTTGAAGTCTACTGGGTCAGCAGAATATCGTCGACGTCGTGCGACGCGAGTTATATAAACAATGCGGAAAGCCCAACCCCTGTTTTTGCATGGATTCACCAACAGCTCGCAGAGACAGCAGAATTTCCTGCTTCGTGAAAAGAACAAGTCATATCCTACGCTTCTGACAATACCACTCGAGTGTTGAACAGACATCAAGATGAAGTTTGAGAAGATATCGAAACCCAGCGGGGGCATCGTCCGCAACACGTCCAGGTTTCTTTACCAGGCTGAGGCCTTGTTTGGTGGGGTACGTAACCTCTCCGTTCTTCGTTGTTGGGCTCTGCTGTAGCTTTTTACCGTCCTTGAGCGCTCCCTGGGGATCTGGTCGAGGGGGTAACTGGGCCAGACAATGACACATAGAAGCTAACGCAGTTGACTTTGTCTAGATCATCCTTGGTATCGTGAGTTGGTACCTTTCTCATTGGAGAGACACCGAAAAGTATCCGGGGGCACGTCTGTGCTTCACTGAGGTCTTTGCTGGCTTCGCCATCATGTACGGAAGCATCGCCATCTGGACCTACAATTGGTTCCCCATCTGCTTTGCAGTGATCAACTTCATCTTCAGCCTGGCATTCTTCTCCGCCTTTGGCGCGCTGATCGAATTTGACTGTGACAAGAACTGGGTTGGGTGGGAAGTGAATGTTGGCAAGGGATACAAGGCATGCTGGAAGACGACCGAGGCCTTTACCTTCATCGCCGCCTTTTGCTTCCTGGTCAGCACCGTCTTTGCGCTAATGACCAAATCCGCCACGACCGAGCACCACATCCACATGATGCATAGGAAAGCCAGCGGAACCAGCAGCACCGCCGAGACCCAAGTCTAAGGCCGTGCCCAAGATCAAGGTCGAGATCAAGAACGTCGAGCATGATCAAAAGCGAGCACACACCCCCTCTTTTCACTGAATACGTGCTTTGTTCCCGATAATACCGACAGCGTTCACTGTAATAACACTGTTTCCTTGCAACACCTAATGGAGAGTCTCTGATGGCGTGTTATGACTCGCCAGCACACTCTCGGAGAAGATGGGCCAATCCAGGGCGGGGAGGGCAGGGGGACTGGCCGAGGGAGCTGATGTGAATAGTACTTTTTGAACAAGATTGTCAGCGCGCGTGTATGTTAACGAAGAAATGATATCCCTGGGGCAGTTCTGGCGTGAGCACGTTTTACTTCTATAGCCTCTGGACGACACATCTAACGAGAATAATCATAATAGTTTGTGCTCTGAAAAGGCGTGTTTCCCGATTGAAATGGACCAGCAGCCAGAGAAACCAAAGTCGACTCTGGGGCTGAAGATCATGCATAAAGACTTGATACTTCAATGGGGCCAAAATCTCAAACCACAGTAAAAATACTCTTCCACTGTTTCCACTCTCGTCTTCCTGGTTCTTCTTTCTGGGGACATGCACGGCAAGAGAACAGACGATTTTTGACGTCATCCACCTCTACGAGGTACCTTGTCATAGTCACGGCTACGAGGCAGTAGCGAGCTTGAACAGGAATGTAAGTCACCCCAGGTGTTGTACCGAGTCGGAGTACCTACTCGGTGGTCTTGGACAGTCAAGCCAGTCGACCGGTAGAGCGGAACATCTCACGCGCTCAATTCTTTCTCTCTTTCTTTACCTTTTGACGTGATGGTCTTCTTTGCGGCTGGCCCCGTGTGACGACGACAGATTGTCAGGAAATTAAATTCCTTGCAGCTTGTCAAAGTGGGAACTCCGGGTTAGTGGTTGTTGAACCCCTCCGGAAGTCTTATGCGGTTTGGGATTTCGTGACACTCTACACAAAGAGTCCCCGCCCACCTCGATCTCGAGATATTGTCAGGGGGGCACAACGCACCACGCCAAATCGTAATATTGGCTCAGGAACTCTGAATGGGCTGGCTAGGAGGAATTCATTTTGTGGGACCCCTTCGAGTATGAGCCCGGAGTACACGGTACAGAGTACAGAGTACAGAGTACCGTTATCCATACTTCTGCACAGAACAGAAGACTCTCCGACCGGGCCGGGAAGAGGTAGGTAGGTCATGGACAATCAAGACAGGCCCCAGCACTGCCCTTCCAATGCCGAGGCACGGCACTTCTATGCGAGGACAATCACGCCGTCACAACCTCTTGCCCAGCGTTGAAACGTAGCGTCAGCTGACAACGAGCAGTTTACTTGTTCCTCGATGTCGAGGGCCCCGGGAATCCAGAAAAGGTGATACCGAGTCATTGGACCTCAGAGCCAGGCGTGGACTGAGGCCAAATGTGCAAATAGCTGGCGACAGTCAGCAGAAGCAGGGTTGGAGGGGAGAACTCCGTCCAGTAGTCGCACTACTACCAGTATCCAGGTTTTCGGTTGCGTGACGGAGCTTCGCACTGCTTCGGAGCAACGAGGTACATACCTATCCAGGTAACTTGTATTCTTCCAGGCACAACAAAAACCCCAGCGACCAAAGTGGGCACTGTCCTACGAGCGTTAGCGAGTCCCTGTCATCTGCGACTGGAAAATTCCCAGACCAAAGCCGCGCTGTCCGTTTTCATGCACAGTAGTAACTCTGCCTCAGAATAGTCTAGAAGCAGATCATTCGAACAATCATCCTCCTGGCCAAATGATACACTCATGAGTTTGTCATACGATTAGACTCCAACCACTGACAATGCAGGGTGTTTTGGGCAGCCGCGCGAAAATCAACTACTACTTCAATGCCTGCCGGACTCTCTTCGGAGAGCACGTCTGCGTTTGGTGCCATCATGGAGGTTCAAAGAAAAACCATTCCCAATTTCCAAGAAACGAACCAAGAGCAGATTCAGAACTTTGCCTCGCCCTACGAGACCAAAATTACAAAGTAGCTGCGGGAGCAAGCATCTATCCTTACCCCACCGTTTGATATCAACATCCATTTACACTTTTGTTTTGAAATATGGCCCTAGTCATAGACGAGACTGCGTATAGGCTTCTCTGGCTGGCCCAGTGGAAGCTGCAACAGGAGTCGGAGCACATGGAGCCAATGCTGACCAAGATGATCGGCCACCTTTCAGTCTATCAAAAAGCCGCAGAGTACATGGAAGAACATGACGTGAGCAAAACACCACCACCAGTAATTGCTATTTTGATATTGACATGTGGGACCAGGTGGCCGATGTGATCTTCGGCAAAGAAGAGGATCAATCTCAAGTCCTGGATGAGTTTTCCGAGCTGTTGGCGCACGACGCACACAACCGCGTCTTTCAGCCAGAACAAGCATCATCATCATCATCATCACTACCAGCAACAACACCAGACTCGGTGGTCGTCAGTGCAGTCGAAGTGGACGCCGAGGGCGAGGGCGAGGGCCAGAGGAACCCGTTCTCCGACGACGAAGAGGTCTCCAGTGTGGGCGAGGACGATGTCAACTGGAGCAGCGACGACGAGACCGAGTTTGGCAGTGTGTCGAGCTTCGACGAGGAAAACGAGGCGGCCGACCACTGCTGCGGCGACACTGCTGGTCGCCACTCCTTGAAGGAGAAGACGGGTGATGTGGACATGGACCCCGTCTGGAGGCCCAAGGTCCGGGACATCGCTATGGCGGATCTCCCCCCGGATTTTGACGCATGGGCGCCGTCTCTACCTCCCCTGGGGCGGCCGGGCACTCCGCTACGCGCGACAATCGACGGTCTTGCCCTCGTCGACGCGTCGTGACCGTCCAACCCTTAACCCCCCAAAACCAAAGTTGGGTGGCCAAAGATTTTCTTCTTCAGAACCATCATGGTGTCATCTAGACCATCACCTGTCTGGGATTGGCCCCCAGTCAATCTCATCTTTCAGCAGAGATGGGAGACACCCCCAGGTCTCCGAGACCCCTTCACCCCCCCCCCCCCCCCAGGAGACTGCGTCTGCCAGGGCGTTTAGCCGCCAGGAAGTTCCGTCGTATGGGCGCGTGTGTCGCCGTGACCTTGTTTGTGGTAGGAGGGCGGTGCGTAGGTGTCCTCATTGACGGACGACCAGGCGCAAGCTCTCGTCATTAACAAGGGCTACAAGTTGATATCGCGGAGATTGGAAGAGGGGGGGGGGGGGGGGGTGGCTGGCGGAAATGGGAAGGGAGAAAAAGAGAGGTGAGGAAGCAAGCAAGGAAGGAAAAGAGTGATGAGGAATGGAGGGGAATAGGGGTTTGGACTATATATCTATGATATAGGTGACATATCATTGCCCCCATGGCTCACTAAGTCAACCTGAGGTCCTGGAATTGTCCCGAATCTATTGAAAGCGAAAAAATGCCTTGGCCAGGACCACTTAGTGTGTACATTGGCTGCTGCGGACAACAACCATATAGTACTTATATCACAGACATCATCTGTATACACGGGTGGAGGGCCGGTGGGGATTCGGAACACTTGACAATTAATTGAATATCTCCGTGGTTCCTCTGTCACCAGAGACAGACACGGTGGAATCACTTGAAAGGGTATTTTTTTTATCTTTGGATGATGGGGTATATTCGCTGGACCCAAAAGAGGGCCTTTGCCTTTTGCCCTTTGCTTTTTGCCTTCGAGACACCCGTCCGGTGTAGCACCCATTTTGTCCCCTGCCCCTAACGCGTCTTGACTGGACGCCCGTGTACCATCATCGTTGTCGTCGTCCTCATTATGATTAGCGTGATGTGTGTGCATCGTGAATCTTCCCTGTCAACCTGCCCGCCCGCCCTGGCAGAGAAAACCTATTCCAGACCATTTCCATTTGCCCAAACAAAACAACAAAACGAGCCCTCCCAAAAAGCCTCGGCACCGGAGGTATGCCATGAAATGGACAAGACCAAACCAAACTCGGACGAATAGTCAACAATGGGGGTTTGTAAGAGAACAAAATAGTTGCCTGGATTCCAACAATCCCCCCATTCTGTTACATTTTGAAAAGAAAAGAGGTACATTTTTCCCAACCCACGCTATAAGGTCAAGTCCCTCGCGTACAAGACACGGCAAACAGATTCGACCTCTCCACACAAGTCATACAGAGAAGACTGCGAGTAAGAAAGACGAAGATGTAAAGAAGACTGATGAGAAGGATGAGGACACGGCGAGGAAAAAAGCACACAACAGAGAACTGTGGACAGCACAATGTCATGAATTTTGGACGCCGAGTCGTGTCATGTCCTTGAGCAACGACAGATCGTCGCAATTGACGAGCTTCTGGAAGAGGCCGACTTGGTCCTGCAGGCGCTTGATCTCGTCGTCCAGGTGTCGCATCTCAACCTCGGACTGGTGGATGTAATTGATCGCCCTGGACATGATGTCGGACTTGCGGACTCTGCCCGACAGCGTGGGACCTGTGGATGAGGTGGTGAAGTGAGAGGTGGACGACGTTTGACTGGTCTCGGTGGCCAGGAGCACGCGGTGGAGCTGCATCATTTTCCCGTTGAGATTGTCACGGTACCGCCTCTCGATCACGGAATGGGCGAACTTAGCCTTCAGAATAGCCGACTCATCCTCGCTGGACGCGTTGGACTGATTGCGCTTCTTCCGTGGGCGCCCTTTCTTCGGCTGTGACGACACTGAAGAGCGGGCGGCGGTACGACTGCGGGGGAGGCTCTTCTTGGAGCTGTGCACCTCGGTGTCTGCCAGGCTGGGCGACGACAAGGGCGAGATGTCGCTGCAGTCATCCTTGACACTGGCAGCTCCAAACTCTGCTTCGGGGGACTGGCAAGGCTGGTAATTCATGGGGAATTCGGAACCACTGTTCAATTGCAGTTGAGCTGGCCCCACGGTCTGCACGGCCGCCGGGTCAAATGGTTCCAGGCAGGGGCTGAGGTACGGAGCATTTAGATAGGACTGCATGGCGTAGCTTCTGGATTGCATGGGTTGGGTCTCGATGGGCATCGACCAACCCTCGAGATCTTTTGCAACCAGGTCGTGCTCCTCACTGTCTGATTGAAAAGTGGTAAAATATGTTTCATCTTGGTATTGCTGAGACCCCGGGTCAAGGAAAAAAGGCTCTGTATAGTATGCCATTGCTTGGTTGGGTGTTGCGGTTGCTGGATTTGGAATTTGCGTCAACACAATAGAACTAGTTTACAGCCGGGTTTGTTTTTACTTGAAGGAGCACTTGAGGGACCCGACTTCTCGTTCCAGAACGCGAGAGCGCGAGCCTGGCGCTCTTCATAAAGGGTCGGCCGTGGTCAGTGCGCAAGCTCATGATCTCAGATCGCGGAAGCTCTGGATCCTGAAGCCCCTCGGGGAGCCCCTGCCGGGGGATCCATAGATTGACGATTAGGTGGGCGTGGTGGGTTCGCGCAGGAAAATGATTCCTCAGGGCCAGCTGTTTAGGGCACATGGGGTCCGGAAGTTTGTCGCCAGCAGACCACAGATCAGTCCACCAAAGATGGTTCGAACAACAGCTTTCTGGTGTTGCTTGACTTCGACTGGACTTCTCCGTAAGCAGCTGCCGCCAACAGCATCAAAGGTCCCAGGGTCCCAAGAGGAGCAGCTATTAGCCAGAGCCACTTTCTTCGCCTACTTCTCCCACGGACCAAAGGGGAGACGGGTCCATGACGACGACGGAGCTGACCTGCCATGCCCGAGACTCGCAGCTCACATGCTCTTGCTCCGTCTGCTCCTTGGGCAGCTAGCTGTAGCTCGCTAGCCCCACTTCGCACATACTTCGCAGAAGTTCGGAGGTGTCTCGCAGATGGTCGGATTGTCTGGTAGGCCATGCTCATGGGTTCGACAAGGGCGACGTCACCGTCCATTGGGCAGTTATCTTGTCGCTGGACTTCGTCGCGAGTCCGAGGAATTGTTGTCACCGTCGTTGTCACAACATCAGGTCGCCGGCGTGCGTCTCGCCGTGACCTCACGCGAGAGCCTGATATTCTGCTGACGGAGAGCTTCGGCGGTTGTTTGCGCTTCATGTCATCTGAGTTGTCTTTTTTCCCCATCTCCCTCTCTGGGATTTCCCATTCAGGTATTTTGACTTTTAATTTTACACTAGAGAGAGTTGCGATCTTCGTGGGACGACGGGAGGCTGAAGTGTAAACAGCCTGATCAGGAAACTTCCACTTGGCAACGTCATGATGAATCTCGAGCCTCCAAGGCACCCTTGAGACTGAGCAGGGATCATTGGCTTCCGAAAGGAGATCCTGGGCCTCGTTGCCAAGAGCGAATCGGCTGCCACATGTGCAGAGGTGGGTGGTCTGATCTTGAGTGATCGGTTCCCTAAAACCTCATTACCAGATGGCTTGGAGAAAACTTTTCCAACAGTGTACGAGGGTGCTGGTCGAAAGCAAAGGTGAGAAGATCACAGCAGCTCCCTGACTCGAGCGAATGGATCACATACCCACGCCAGAGCATCCCTACCGACCCGTTCATGTGCCTTGGTTGAGTGGAAGCCCGAGTCTCAGCTCTGAGTACGATTGCAAGGGATTCCTCGATTTCCCTTCGCGGCATGGCAGGAGCACGCAGAGTTTACAGAATGCCGATTTCGAGGGCAAGGACGCTGCACAGACGGCGGCCTTCCTTCAAGAGTGGCTCTACTTTGGGTTGATTAGCTCCGTCTTCCAGATCTGCGGCATCACTTTCAGCAGGCACGATCTCCTGCGACACACGTCGGGGCTCGTAAGTCCAATGCACAAAGTTTGTCATGTCACAATGGCACACATGCACAGTCTCTAACAACTGTGGCAGAGAAAGAGGAAGAAACGCAGAACCTTCATCACCACGAGAACACTGGGCAAATACTTGCAGCAATGGTACGACAAGGAAAAGTACGCCTCGCCGTCTGCAAAGGCGGAGCACGAAGGAGACGTCAGCTACAATTTCACCTTTGTCTCAGGGGTGCTTGAGACCTTCAATGGAAAATTAAGAACCGCGGGCAACGATGCCGAAGCGACGTATCTGCGCAACTGCCTGCCCGGAGAAGTCGAACTATCAGTTGTCGTCTTGCTGGCCACGATCGAGTACTTCCACATGGTCATCTATGATCCTCCGAGTAGACTGGTGGTCCCTACATGCGCTTGGCTCTCGTCGCTGATGGTAAGCGAAGGCTGGTGCGTAGGGCAAGTGGCCAGACTGTGGAAGCGACATAGGAATGTTTTGACCATGTATTACTTCAAGATGCTGGGTCCGCCGGCAGTCAACAAGGACCATTCCCGTTGTTCGAAGAGTCGGTGCGCAGCCAATGACATACTGGAAGACGTATATATCACCGCCCATTGTCCCGTAGAGCCTTCCTTTATGCACTTTCAAGTCCCGAAAATGATCACGAAACGCATGAGTTGCAGATGCGGCGGCCAGATGGGCCCGCCCAGCGATAAGCTCGTCGCTATAATAATGGACGGGAGTGTTCCCATCATATCGGTCCGGTGTCCAACCACCGCACAAAATCGGAAATGGGATGATTCCTTGGACCTGGAGGTTATCGCATATACTGGAGACACTCCATATGTCGCGATATCCCACGTGTAAGTCTCTTGATCTTTGCAGACTTAGGATGTAGCAAATGGGCTGACGACTTCAAAGCTGGTCCGACGGGTTGGGAAATCCTCGAGCGAATGCACTACCGGTTTGTCAGTTGAAAGCGCTCAGAACGCAGCTACAATATATGATCCTTACAAACCCGGAGTACTTTGACGATATCTTTCCCGAAGGCTTGCATATCCACAAGAGAGCACACCTGGAGCGGCTTTATTTCTGGATCGATACTCTTTGCATCCCTGTCAATAACCTCGAAATAAGAAAGAAAGCCATCCTGGACATGCGCAACGTCTTTGAAGCAGCATCCGCCGTCTTGGTGAAAGACGTCGAGTTGAATGCACAGAGCCGGTACTGTCCTCTCGAAGAGCTCATGGCCCGAGTCTGCGTCTCTCCCTGGTGTGAACGGTTGTGGACTCTGCAAGAAGGAGCCTTGAACGATCGGGTCTTTGTCCAAATGTCCCATAACGAGGTCGTTCCCCTTGATGATTTGAACGAGCCGACCCGGTCGCTCGTTCTGCTATCGGATGAATTGCTCGGTGCCGAGACGTCTGGTTCCGCCGACCATGTTTCCGCATCGGTAAACGGCGAGGACGATGGTCGATCAGGACAGTTGGACTTTGCCGCCAAGTTTGGGGCGTGTCCTTCGGCCATTCTATCCATGAACGTTCTTCCCTCCAGCATCGGATCCAACTCCATTTTGCGTCAAAGAAAAGCAGAATTGTTCTTGCACATATTGACCGAAGTACAATACAGACAAACTAGCAAAGCCTCGGACGAAGCAATCTGCATTACGACGTTGCTGGATGCAGGAGTGGAAGACGTGCTCAGGCACGACAATCGTGAGAAACGGTGGACTACCTTCTTATCAGTTGTGGAGGATGTTCTTTCGGCGCGCATTGTTTTTACTAACTTACCTAGGATGGCCCTGAGGGGATATCGTTGGGCGCCACGGTCATTCCTGAACTCCGCCCAGAGACCGGAGCTCGAAAGAGTAGTCAACATCTACAGCTTGGACACAGGAAACCACGAGCTCCAACACGATTCGGACCTCGACGAGCCACACCACGCGCGACAGGTTTCCAAACCTGTTCGCATCGACGAACGCGGGCTGATGGTTGCATTCCCAGGATTCACGTTTCAGCCGCTTACAGATCCTTTGTCGCCCGAGTTTTGTTTCGCAGAGGAAGACGGCGACGTTACTTATTGGTGCATTACGGAGTATTCCCGGACTTATTTCGAAGCATATTTTGGGGGCACTGCTTTTCTGCCGGAGCATCCTTGGGACGCCGTGAAGGCAGGGACATCTTCGCGGCTGTCAGTCGTCCTAGAGAATCATTTCTCGGACCCCACTGCGCCGGCCCGGGGGGCATTGTTGATGAATTGTTCTGATGAGGCCAACGTGGTATACGGCACGTATTTGTGTCTGATCCTTGTCATTCGGACCACAAGAAGCTACCACCTGCCGGAATTTGAACTGGCAAAGGAGAAAATGGTCCAAAATACGGAGCACGCCCAGTGGGAACTGGCCGTGGGTGCCAAGTTCGGCGGGCAACAGAAGTGGTGCATCGCATAATTTGATCAAAGAAGGGCACACTCAGCACAAAAAAAAAGAGCCACTAGTAACATAGGGTATTGTCTCCCCTAGAAAGGAGCCAAATACAGTTCAATGGTCGTGAGATGAAAGGCTTCGAATATTTTCTGAGTTGAGAGTAGACCTTGTCCGGATACGCAAGGCTGTGAGCGTAAAGGGCGAGTGGTCTTGGCAATACTTGGCATTGCGGTCATCATGAAATGTTCGGGATGCGCCGCGGGTTTCCTGGAGGGAAGCTTCAAGCATCAAACTCCGATTTCATCTTCCAACCACATTCGAACCATGGGCAGAGGGCCGCCACCACCATCATAGCAGCCTCTCCTTCTTGTTCGGTGCTTTCCGCCTGACCAATTGTTAAAGTTCTGAAGCAGGGCCAGAGCTAAACACAAAGGCGCAGACCCCCATTGTATCTGGTGCAGCATCCTTTCTTCAGTGGTGCCCTGTACTCTAGCAACATGCCTGTTTTCCAATCGAAGCCATTCCGCAGCAGCGGCAGTAGCGCAGCAGCAAGAGATCTCCCCTCACGGATCGCGGCGTGGTACAACCGCAAACAGGAACGCAGTCCGTTCTTGTACTTCGGCCTGCCGTTCATCTCGATCGTCGTCGCGGCCTCATTCCTCCTCACTCCGGCCACGGCCCTGCGATACGAGAAGCACGACCGCAAGAACAGACAGGTCTCGGATCACGAGAGGATGGAGTTGGGCTTAAAAGGCGGGCCAGCGGGCGAGGGCGGGCTCACGTACAATCCAAGACGACGGAAGATCCTCAAGGGAGAGCTCAATGAGCGAGATGAATACTACAGGCTTATGGCCAAAGACCTGGACAACTGGGAGCAGAAACGCGTCGAGCGCTGGAAGGATGAACCAGACGGCAGACTGCGATAGAGAGCATAGTTCGACAGACAGACCCGGTCCATCCATTGTGTCTCTTCACCTATCTCTGGGCATTGTCGCGCAATAATCCTCATTACTGCGAGCGTGCGCGACACAAAGTCCTGAGCCTCGGACGGAACCTCCGAAACCTCGACAAACCGACGGCGAAGCCAACCTCGGAGCAACAGCTAGTCCAGACATGTCGCCTGGGTGAGACCACCAATGACAATACACGTGATGAGTACTTGGATCGGGTGACCAACCAAATTGGCGGTCGACGTGCTTTCATGAAGTGCGCGGTCACAACATGAAGAGACCGCCCTGCATTGAACGGAACAGCATCCCCGTGGACCTAGGCTGCAAAGTACGAATTGACATACGGAGCTCTGGTGACACGTAACGCGTTCTAGGATGGAGCGTGTGTGCACCATCGACAGTTGGCCAAAGAGCTTGCTTACTTGTGAAATCTCAAAAGGGAAACTGACAGCTAGGCGGTCTGACCAATACCATGGCGGCATGGGTCACCTGAAGGAGGGCTCGCTTAGATGCAGGCGAGATGGGCGAGAAGCTTCTGGCCACATCAGGAGCACGGACTGGCTGAAGGTGTGACAAGATGGGGAGGGAGATGACGGCATTTGATTGCTTTGTCTGCAAACGGCGTCATCTTCGGCAACAGCCGACATGCAGAGACACGCATGGCAGCTCCGGATGACGACCGAAACGTGTCGTGTTGGTGGTGCTCGGGGAAGCTCGGTCTCGATACGGAGGGGAGGAGCTTAGTTGGGAAGGGGTCTGGACCCTGTACCGAGTATATACTGTGTATTCCGGACTGTTTCAGTAGTAAATCCTTCTGTGCGGACTAGATAGGGGACCTTAAGCATCTGTGTAACGGGAACATGTGCACTTTTTGGTCATATGGCCCCTTCTTTCTCCCAACCGGGCGTCTCCCGACTACCGACCCGCCAAGGACATCAGAAGCACGCCAGACACAGGCTGCATTTCGTTATCGATTTACGTGTTGGATATGCCGGCTCATGGCTAGGGCGCTTTTTGAGTGCATTGGGTGCATGCGGTACCTGGGTAGTGCCTTAAGCCGCATTTCTAGTATCGCTCAAAGAGGATTTTTGTGCGAGTAGCACTTGAGAATCGAGAGGGCTCTCGTGTGGATCATGCCACTGTCCCGGTGAGACCCTCAATCTCAACAGTACCTGGTAAGTTCTGTGTACTCTGTACTGTAGCCCTTAGGTGAGGAAGAGTCACTAAGAGATAAGCGAACAGAACAAGGTGATGACGGTGGTGGTGATGGCTTGGGCGAGTATGACGTGGGGTTGATGGATGGTCAGCCCTGGGAAGCGTACGTCTAGTTGCTATCCGAGGATGGTATATTTGTAGAGGACTGTTGTGGTGATCAAGGCAGTTTGGATTATGTTGGTCGGTGGTGGTTTGTCTCTCCTGTCTGTCACTCTCATTACCTAGGTATGATGAGACTTATTGTCCTCTATCTAGGCAGGTGCATAGGACGGCAGTCGGTGGCAGTCGTTTAGCAGTCATTTAGCAGTCATTTAGCAATCATCCATCTTGCCCTGATTTCCAATCATTGTTGTGCTGTCATGCACCCCAACCAGGGTCCGATCCCCTCCATCGCCTCTTCGCTATCCACCCACCCTGCATCTTCGGAGGCTGATCCAAGTCTCTGGGCCAATAACCGCTCCCCCTTGGGGTCATTTGTAGTAGTTGTAGAACCGGCCACAATTGTTCCTTGGGGTTCCAGACCGTTATTCCCACGCTCACTTCCACCAGTCTGGCATGGGATCCCCCCTCGCCCCCTGGCACCCACCTGGTATTGACCCGTGGCAGCGTGTTGCGAGTCAGCGAGGGTTCACCTTGCGTCAGTCCTCCTCCTACCGGTACAAACCCTGATTTCCCTTCCCCAGAAGACCCTGATTTCCTTTGCCTCTGCTCACCAACCACGGAAACCTCCCTGCCTCGATAGTGTGTTTGTGGTGTATTTCTTGAACGAGGTTTCGGAATTAAGAGAATGCGAGTCGAGTTCATGGGTTACAGGTATGCTGAGGCCTGGGCTGGGCGAAAAGCAGGGGCCACTGCTTGTACCACTCACCCTCCACTGCTCATGCACCCAGTCATGGTTCATCTTGCTTTTCACCTTTTGACGAAGAGAGGAGCCAGGACCCTCAGTCCATTGGGGGCCGCCTTTTGGCTCACTACCTAGTAGGCTCCCCCCACCATCACCCGTTGTGGTTGCTGCTCCCACCGACGTCATTGTTCCCTGCGCCAATTTCCATCCGAAAGGTCACCTTTTGGCGCACCCTTTATGCCTGGAACTCAGCGCTTGTGCTCCCCCTCCAGGCATTGCGGCCACTGCTACATACAGTGCCTGCTCCCCCTGACGATATTTACCAGGCGGCACTTTACTAAACCCCATCTCTCTGTCCCCCCTTTAACCGGCCAATTCTCTCACCTTGCGTCTCTGACCTTTCGCCTCAGCTCACACCGCACACCAACCTTAAAAAAAGTTGCCATTGAATTAGTGATTCACTGCCTCAGCTGAGAAAACAATATATCCCTTTGTTTGCCTGCCCACCAAAATGTTTCCACATTCCTTCTCGCTGTCCGCCTTGTCGCGTGCACAGTCCAGACCACAATGACGTAGATCTTTGGGGGCAGATCTACTTTTTCACCTGGCGAGCTGGTACTTGTGTACACAACACACCCTCACCTGCCACTCCCGTACAATTCCTGCCTGCGCCTGACCCATCCTCACCCACAAAATCCACACCCTCAAAGCGCAGCGCCTCATATCCCTCTCGTCCCCTTCGACGCCTTTCTTGCTGCTTAAGGTCCTTTTCAACCTTGCTTTCACTTATCCCTCCTGTGGGGGGCTCTAATTCTTGTCACCGTCGACTCACTAGCCCGACCCTCGTTGGCCACGGAACTTGATGACCATCCACCACATCACTTCGACCTCACCCGCTACCTCGGGCCAATTGGCCAACGTCACCATGTCCGCCACTGCGACGGCGGCCCTCAAATCTTCATCTCATTCTCACTCTCACTCACAGTCGCATTCACATTCCAAATCTCACTCCCATTCCCACTCGCGCTCCTCCCGGCCCACGACCACTCCACGTACTCAGCCTGCGGCAGCCTCGGTCGGTCAATCCATGCCACCTCACCTATCTCCAAATAATGCTCGATCTGCTCAAGCGCCTAAAGATGTCAAGAGCCCGAGTCCCAGCTACTTTGGCTTTGTTGTGGGCAGCGATGATACCATACCGCCCGACTCCAACCCGGGCGCACATGCTCGCCAAAATTGGACGTACCCCAACTCAGCTGCTCCGAACAACGCCCCGACTCCCCGTCATGTGCCGCTCGAGTCCAACCCAGAGTTTGAAGCGTTTAGAAGACAGTCGGAACATAACCACAGGTTTGCTTTGAACACGGCATTTAGACCTTCCCAATCTCGAAACAACTCGACGAGCACTGCTTCGCGCGTCGAGACTCCCGCATCCCCTCATACAAAGAGGCCTTCGATAGAGAGAAGCTCAAAATCAACCAATGGAGGGTCGGCCGTGCTGCAGCAGGGTACCCAGATGGAGGATGTCTCCTTTTTTGATATCCCAAGACGACAATCTCCGGGACCCATCAATTCCCAGCATACCGTTGCCGACCACCAACACGCTCGGCTCTCTTTACCTGACAATAGCATCCGTACACCTCCCCTCAAGGCTGCCACAAATTCTCATCGCTCAGACACATTACCCTCGTCGGGCGATAAAGACGCTCCTCCAATTGTTTCGCCAACCCAAATAGCAGAAGTCATGAAAAACCAACCAGAAAATGTTTTGGTGCTGGACCTAAGAGTATATCAGCAGTATGCCACGGCGCGGGTACGAGGAGCCCTAAATCTATGTATCCCCACGACACTCCTGAAGCGACCGGCATATAACGTGCAAAGGCTCGCCGAGACATTTGCATCGGCGCGAGACCAAGAGGCCTTCGCGCGCTGGCCAAAGTGTGCCTATATAATAGTGTATGACGCCAACTCTGCCTTGCAGAAGGAGGCCGTCACTCCGTTAAACGTGCTCAAGAAATTTACGTCAGAAGGCTGGTCTGGGACGGGGCTCGTGGTCAAAGGTGGGTTTTTGAAATTCCAGAAACTGGTTCCGGAGCTGGTTGACAGCGGTCCTGTTCAATCCGGAAATGGTGCGTCCTCACAGCCGCTGTCAATCTCAGCTCCGGGGAAGGACGCCCTGCCCGTGGCCGGAGGTTGTGCCATGCCCTCGGAAAAGTCGGCTGCCAATCCATTCTTCGGGAATATTCGTCAGAATATGGACTTGATGGACGGAGTTGGGCAGATGCCCATCAAGAAGCCTACCAACATGACATCCGAGACGGAACGACATATGCCGGCATGGTTGAAAAGAGCTGCTTCAAAGTCAGACGAAGGAAGACTGGTGTCGGACAGCTTTCTCAGTATTGAGAAGTCGGAACAGAAACGCATGCAGGAAGCTCTCACGGCCAAAGTGTCGTATGGGACGCCGCGGACCGAACAGCCACAAAAGATCCAAGTTGCCGGAATTGAGAAAGGCTCCAAGAACCGATACAACAATATCTTTCCCTTTGACCATACTCGTGTCCGGCTTCAGAATGTTCCGAACGGTAGCTGCGACTATATCAACGCAAGCCACGTCAAGGCAGAGTTTTCAAACCGACGATACATTGCAACCCAAGCGCCCATTCCTGCCACGTTCAACGATTTTTGGCGCGTCGTGTGGGAACAGGATGTCCGTGTGATTGTCATGCTGACGGCTGAAGCGGAAGGGGGCCAGGTCAAGAGTCATGTTTACTGGAAACCGGGCGAGTATGGTCCTCTAAAGCTTAAGCAGCTCTCCGAGCGCCAGGTGAGCTTGGAGACGAAGAAGTTCGCCAATAAACTTGCACCGACAGCCAGACCGTCCATGGCGCCTAGAAGATCAACAACAGCCAATATTCCAGGAGAAAGAGGTCGAGACGAGGGGAAATCGTCGACTTCCAAAGTCCCTACCGCAATGGTCCGTCATTTCTCTTTAAGTCACTCAGCGTTCCCCTTCCAGCCAATGCGTGAGATCACTCAGATTCACTATGCGGATTGGCCAGACTTTGGGGCTCCGGCAAGCCCTCTGGAGCTGCTTGGACTCGTAGAACAGGTCAACAAGTATGTCCGAGGAGCTGGGACTTCGTCCAACGATGTCGTGGGACCAGATGAAGCGACGCCCGAAGGGCAACGCCCGGTTCTAGTGCACTGCAGCGCAGGGTGTGGGCGAACGGGCACCTTCTGCACGATTGATTCTGTCATCGACATGTTGAAGAGGCAGCGGCTCTCTCACGAGGCTGGGGAAGATAAAATGGATGTTGATACTGGCGATTGGATAAATCGGGATGATGTCGATCTGGTGGCCAAGACCGTGGATGACTTCCGACATCAGCGACTGAGCATGGTACAGAATTTACGGCAATTTGTTTTGTGTTACGAGAGCATATTACAGTGGCTTGTGATGCAGGAATCAGAGCATCAGAAACGACCGGGACTACCAGACCCCAGACGGAGTTATCACGGTTGAGATTTTGATATAAAAATAAACAAAAGCCATGGGGACATGATGATTGAACGCCGAGCATGGAATGAGAAGCATATTTGCTGTTATTGGCAGCCGGTGGGTTTTTTGGGTCCCAAGGATCTCAAGCCAGCTGTGCATGGCTTTGGGATGCATAGCATGGGTATATGACATTGTTTTTGAGTCCTTTACAAGGGCATGCATAGCAAAGAGGTGTGGAAAGATTATATACTGCATATCTGGTTTTTGGATATCACGATTCTGCCACGAATCGACTCGACTCGACAATGACAATGGTAACGACCAAAGAATCTCGTCTTCCTCTGCCGGTCTTGATCTTGGTTGATTCCTTGCTTCATGAGGATTTATGGATTTCCCTTTGGCGAGCTGAGCAGGGCTGAGGGATTTGGTCCCGAATGCGGCTGTGATCGGATGCAACAATGTCTTCTATTTCGCAGCTAATGCCGACATCACGCACGTTTCCATGGAACAACAGATGGAAGGATTCGCAAGAACGCACCGTGGTGGTTCTCCGATTACCTTGCGTCGTCTGCTGGTCCTGGCAATGCCCTGCGGTTTCTCACCCTCGCACCAAGAGAATACATATAATTACGATTCCGCTGCTGACTTCTAGATGCCTCCATGAATTCTCCGAAAAGTCGGCGAGCTCGTCCGACCGGGGATCGTCCGTCGAAGGAAGTACCAAGAAAACCAAGAAATCCTTTCAAATCTCGACTCCAGCGGTGTTGGTCTCCCAAATTGGCAGGCTGTGCTGCAAAGGATTGGAGTCTTAGCAAGCATGGCCAGGTGGGTTCCTGCTTCGCCATTCGCCCCTTTCTTCGTTTAAAGGTGTGATTATTTTGTGGTTTGCTGAACCCACAGCCGCATTGATCAACAGCTAAGTGTTTCTCTTATTGGCCACTCTACGCCACGCTGGACTGCCTTTCGCTTGGGATTTCAGCTCCGGTGCTTGCTTGTTCGGGGTTAGCCAGTCTGTCAGCACTACTATCGAGCCACTTTCCCGATGGTTTTGTTGCGAATCTGTGATTTCGTTGTGCTGACTTGCCCAAATCTCCTCCGAAGCAGCAGCAGACAACTTCCATGTTGGCCATACAAGATGCCGCAGTGAGCCACTGCTTCTCTCAACACCGTAGCTGAGTTGCAACGAGGCCGCTGTACACTATAACTCGACGGCTTCTCTGCCAACCGATAGGAACCAAGACATGTGCCCCCCGGCAGCTGGCTCGTGTTGTTCCACAAGAGCAGCCAGAATGAGACGGACACGTCGGCGCCGTTGCCCGTTTGATAAGCAGCCAAGGCTCCTAAAAAGACGAGATTCGCTGCTCCGGCGGGCGGGCCTGAAAATGTCCTTGTGCCTGCTCCCCCGAGAGAGGCTTGAGAGGCTTGAATGTCCGCCTAGTGACTCGTCGTTTTCTTCGAAAATAACAACACAGGGCAGGCAGCTGAGGGCAATCGCCTTCCCTATGGCGCTGTTGTCTACCGACTGCCAGCAATCAAGGCAGGCTGACGGCAGTTCCCCTGTGTTGGGCCCCCCTCGTAGAACCAGGTACACGACTCCCCGGCTTTCACAATACGAAGAAGCTGGCAGGCCCATGCACCTTGTCTTCATGCCAGGGACTCAACCTTCAGCCACTACTCCATTCCAGGGTAAGTTTTGGAGGTGCGAAGCAAATTGCTGGTCGATGCAAGGCGCCATAGCATGCCATGCCTTTTCAGCCTTAAACTCAAATGTCTTATGATGTCCGAAGAGCACCTTTGTTTATAAAGCATCCATTTCCCCCCGCCTTCGTTCCACTTGGATTTTGCCACACACACCACACTCGCCCTCCTGTTGGCCGTTGTTAGTCATACTGGTCACGGACTAATATACTATAATCTCATCCCTCCCATAAGACAAAACCCACCAACCTCGCCCTTTGTTAATTCCTTCGTCCTGGTCAAGGCTGTCCCGCCGCGACACCACAGTTTGATACCTCAGCATTGGAGACACCATCAGACATTCCCAACACGTCGTTTCGCCATGTCGAACTATTTGCCGTTGTACGTGGCCATGGGGTTCTTGATGATCGATGGGGTCATCGAGGTCGGTTTCGTTGGGTCAATGGTCGGTTTCTTGCACGACCGGGCTGGGAGGTTCTTCACCATCGATGCTCCCAACGGCACTTTCAATCTCCATGGAAAGCCCAAAGGAATCATCACCGACCAAGGACATACCAGCAACGGTGCTGCAGGTACCGCTGTTGTACTAGTGGGCTTCTTGGGATTGCTCACGATTTGGTATGAAAAACGACGAGCCAGAAGGGTATGCATCTCTCACCCAAGTGACGCTTCTGGGTTCCTCACTAACAGACTCACTCCAGACGCAAGCCATAAACCACTCGGGTATCTTCATTTTCTGGGTCGTCATGACGGTGATATCGGCCCTTCTCACCCTGTCCGCCTTGATCTACACGTTTGTGGTCACGGCCCAGACCGACAACCAGCACATCAACCTCGCGGTTGCGGCGGCCAACCCGGAGCCGAAGATGTACCCGCTCGACAACTGGACGCCAGAGAACTGGTTCATCGCCGTGCTCGAACTCCCTCTCGCGCACGCCAGCGACCGGCGCGATATCCGCAATAACCTCCGCCTAATGAGGGGCTGGAGATGGAACCTCATCCCCCTCTTCATCCTGGGTGTCACCGTGGCCTCGCTGGCTGTGTGGGAGTTGATCAGCGGGCGGAGATGGAGGCAGGGGGATTCCAGGGAGAAGCTCAGAAACTCGACGCAAAGCCCGAGTTATTAGTTCCTCCCGCGCCATCTCCTCGAAGAGTGTTGAGGTACAGCAGGAGGAAAGACTCGATGTTTTCGTTATCGGACCACCGCCTTCATCCGACTATTGTGTAATTCCTTTTCTTTTTTTTCTTTATGCTTTTGTTATTATTGGGCATCATCGAGCAAGCGAGCGGCGCATTCTGGGAAGAAAAAGACAACCCCATGGGAAATATTGTGTGAAAGGGAATTTGGGGCATCCTGTGTGATGAAACTGACGACACGACCATTCGTTCTTTTGGACACCCACTGGACATATGTTATCCCTCTGACAAGAGTAAATTCTAATGCCTATTTTGGTATTTCTCTACGATACATCAGTATCACTGAGTAATAGCAGATTACCATGTAAGTAACAGTGCCCGTTATCGCGTCCCTAAATAATCGTGGAATCCAGTTTCCAAGGAATTCGGGTCTCTGCAGCCTTGTGATCTACCTCATAACAACATTATGGGGAAGAGAGATAGGGTGACCATCTATGTGTCCTCGTATTGATTCTCGATCAGTGCTCGTACTCGTAAGCTAGGCTACTACTATTTGGCGCATGACAGATTCTTCTGCGTCCTTTTGCCATGCGATGATGTGCTTGATGACCGCACAGACGGCGATGAGGGAGACAAGACGCCGATGCAAAGCCCGCAATTTTAAAAATATCACAAGTGGGCCATTGCCCAGCAGGAGCTCATCCCTATCGTCATCCAGGCCCGCTTTGCCCCTGGCCCCCATACACCCTTTCTCCTCCTTGAGCCAGATTCTGGGTCACTAATATTAATTCTCAAATGCCCCCTACCGATCTTCATCGGGGTGGTGGCCTATGAGTCCCTCATATGACTATAGGTACTTGACCCCAGCTGGCAGGCCCAAACAGCACAAAGGGTCGTGTCGGAGACCATGTGGCTGGCAGCCCGGACCGGCACAGTGCTTCGTAACAACAACAATCGATATCTAAAGAACTCTGCAGATATACATCCCGAGTCTGGGATAATAAAAATGGTGTGTGTGTCTATCTTCGCGGTTCGGTTTCAGCCTTGCCACCAGGACCAGGGGAACAACGTTGGCCGTTTATTAATTTAAATCTCTCTCGCTACAAATAAATTTCAATTTTTGGATCCTTCTCACATTGTCAGTTGCCATTCATAGTCGATTATGAGTACCGAGTACTCGGTGCCTCTTACACGTACCGAGTACCTATGTACCTATCTTAGATGACAATAGGCGTCAGAACCTCGCATCGCCCATCGGCCATCACGTCCTCCGGATCGCCTACTGCTGAGCCGCGCACTACCGAACGAAAAAGTGTGCATTCGTGAAAATCCTGCTCCAGTGAATTCAGATGTGACGCCTTGTCGGCCCCCAATGAGTGACGGAATGGTGCTGCGGAAAGAAAAAGAGGCGCAGTTCGTTCTCCCGACGCCTTGTTGCCTCTCAACTAAAGATATCAACGTGCGGCAGTTACAGTGGTCTCAAGGATGCCCTTTGCGAGCATGAATTTGCTGGGACGAGTACTTGCATGCAACCACGCCGGATTCCTCGCCCTCCAGCCTCTGGACACGACGTAGCTTCTCTTCGCTGTGAGGCGCGGGATAGCAGAATCTCGGTTGAGACGATGTCGACAAGTGGACGGTTAAGTCTGTACCTTTCGTCCTCTCATGCAGCAGTCCTGTGGTGTTTCCTCTTTGACTCTCCAGACGGTAGGAAAGTCGAGAGTCACTCGGAAGCCCATTTCATTGCCCTCCTGGCAGCAGGCGGCAATGGTAACAAGTTACAACGAGGAGGGCCATTCATGCTGGGAATTTCTGCAGAGTGACCTGGACAGCGTACCCACAAACGTTATGAGCATCGCCGCTGAAGAATCAAGCCCTCAGCCTCGTTCTTCCCCCTTTCCTCCACCTCGTGGCGGGCCTGGCTGTGGCCGGGGGTTCCTCGGGATCTCATCCCCCGACCCCATATAAACCTCAGTCAGCCAGGATGAACAACACCCCGTAAATCGTCCACCAATTATTGGCGACTTGGGGTTGATATTTCCTTCTTCATCTTGAAGACCCTTGTCGTCGAGGTTTAGCTTTGTGTGCATCCTGAACCTGTCATACTACTGGGGGAACGCTTTCACCTTTCAAAGTACTAAGTATTCAATCTCTCGGAACGACAAAGAATCGTCCAAGATGAAGCCAGACGCTATAGAAACGAGACTCTTCATCAACAACGAAGTACGTGTATTGTGGACATGTGCCCAGGGAGGCGTGCCCTCGAACATCTATTCCTGACCTGATTCACACTCCAGTTCGTCGCGGGCAAGCAAGGGAAGACGTTCAAAGTCTACAATCCCTACAACGACCAAGAGATATGCAACGTGCACGAGGCCACCAAGGAGGACGTTGACCTCGCAGTCGAGGCCGCAGAGGCCGCCTTTCTGCATTGGAGCAGCATTGCCGCCCACGAGCGCGCGGCGTATATGTTCAAGTTTACGCAGCTCGTCCTCAGAGACGCTCAACAGCTTGCCGAGCTGGATTCCATGTGCATGGGAAAGTAAGGAGCTACGCCTTTCCCAACCTTTGAAACGGCTTGATGTTGCATTACATACCATACCAGCTTGTCAACGGGGCTAATCTGTTCCGTCGTTCTCATAAAAAGGCCCGTTGAGCTCCTCAAGAAAATGGACATCCCGGCCATTGTGGGCGTCTTCAACTACTTTGCCGGCAGCGGATACCATATCCTGGGCGAATCGAGTCTCAGCTCCCCCAATTTCCTCAATGTCAGTGTGCGGCAGCCCTACGGTGTGGTCGGCCTGATTATCCCTTGGAATGTAAGTCCGTCTTGTCACTCACTCGGTGACGGGCAATCCTGGCCCTCCTTCTCTGTCTCGTTGTTGTCGCTTTTCTCCAGTGGATCGAAGGTTTTTAATATGGAGCTGCAGGTACCGATGATCATGTTCGCGTTCAAAGTGGCGCCGGCCCTGATCTGCGGCAACACGGTGGTGCTCAAGTCGTCGGAAAAGGCGCCGCTCAGCGCGCTGAAACTGGCGTCGCTGATCCAAGAAGCCGGGTTCCCGCCCGGGGTGGTCAACGTGGTCAGCGGGTTCGGCGACCCGACGGGGACGGCGATCGGGATGCACATGAAGATCCGCAAGATCTCGTTCACGGGGTCGGTGGCCACGGGCCGCAAGATCCTCAAGATGGCGGCCGACTCGAACCTGAAGAACGTGTCGCTGGAGCTGGGCGGCAAGTCGCCGGCCATCGTCTTCGAGGACGCCGACCTCGAGGCCGCCGCCCGCTACACCCACTACAGCATCAACCACAACAGCGGCCAGCACTGCCAGGCCAACAGCCGCGTGCTGGTGCACGAGTCCATCGCCGACGCCTACATTGACGTGGTCAAGAAGCTGATGTCCCAGGTCACCCTGGGCGACCCGGCGGATCCGTCCACGTTCCAGGGCCCGCAGGTCGACCAGAAGCAGCTGGCCCACATCCAACGGCTGGTCGACCAGGGGGCCAAAGACGGCACCCTGGTGTGCGGCGGCAAGCGACACGGCACGACGGGCGCGTTCATAGAGCCCACGATCCTGAAGAACGTCCCGCTCGACTCGCCCGCCTACACCGAGGAGATCTTTGGGCCGGTCGTGATTGTGAACACCTTTAAAGACGAGAACGAGGTCCTTGCTGAGGCAAACTGCACCGACTTTGGGTTGTTCTGTAAGTACACACACACACACACACACACACACACACACACACACACAC